GCGGGCAGCGCGCGACCCGGGATGGTGTCCGGCCCTGGGGCGTGCCCCGGCCCCCGGCTCCCCGGCCCTGCCCCGCGCGTCTCCAGGGAGGACGTGAAGGAGCCAGGCGGGCTAGAGGGCGGCCTACGTCGCTCTGCATCCCGCCCCGCCGTCCAGCGACCTGGCAAAGAGGCGCCTCCCGCCCGAGCCCTACTCCGGCCTCAGTTTCCCCGGGTCGGATTGGGCGAGGGCGATGGCGATGGCGCCTCGGCCTCCTGGCTTAGCGCAGTGACCAGAGAAGTCGGCTCGGGGATCGCAGGGAGCCTCCGCGCGCAGCCCCGCGTCCCCACTCGCTCCCACGAGCCCACATCTCGCTCTCCGTCCGCAGTCATCTTCCCGGTCTCCTCCCGTCACCATCGCTGCGCCGCTGCCCCACCCCCTCCAGTGTGAACTCGTTTTCCGACCTACATCTGGGGCCCCCTCTCACCCAAACCGGGGAGTCCCAGCCAGCCTCTGACCCGGAGCGCTGAGGACACCGGGCCTCCCCGTGCACCTTCCCCTTCTTAGGCCCACAGTTTCACCTACTGTCCAGGGGCTCGAAGCATGACGAGGGCTGACTGGCGATGCGGGAGCCTTCGCGCCTCTCTTCGGTGGGGAAAGGGGCTGGCGCGCGCCATGCCGGCCAGAACGGCAGTAGCCTCGCCCCCGAGGTTCTGAGCCCTTCCCGCCCCGGTGTAGGTCAGGTGCAGTCTGCAGTAACCCCCTCCCCTCCCCCGAGTACTGTTAGCCCCTTCCTCAGCCTCAGTTTCCCCCAAGCGCGAGACAGCAGTGGAGGCCAGTAGGCCGGGCCTGGGCTGGTGCGGGCGCTCAGGTTGGGCACTGGCGGGCGGGCAGGCGCGCAAAGCAGCCATCTTGCGGCTGCCGCTGCTGGGGCGCCCCCGCGGGCAGCCTCCTCGTCCCCGCGCCCCCTCCCTGACACCCTCCCTCTGCCTGGCAACCCGTCCCCCAGCTCGGCCTGTGTGCGGTCGCCATGGGAACGAGATTCTCAGGGCAGGAGCAGATGCGTCTCTTTTGTCCTTTCCACTCCCACCAGTGTGGGTGCAGAGGGACCTTCATCTCCCAAGTCCTGACTTGAGGGGAGGGATTTCTGACAGCGCACAGCGAGTCCCCCTTGCATCGCATCTGTGGCTGGATCACTTGGCTGGGGCTGCCCATCCCTTTCTGAGGGAAGCTGGTGTCTCGCCAGAGTGCCACCCATGGGCCTCATGCTCCCCATTTTCTGAGGTGGGCTTTCCCTTCTTTGGGCCAGGGCTTCCCCGAGCCAACCCACGCTGCTGTGCAGGGCCAGCCACATCGTACAGGGTGGCGGTTGTGATCCACATGCACACGTGCACACACACACATGTACACGCCACCTCTCCAGGGGTAAAGATGGCAAAACAGAGGTCCCCAGGGAGAAGCACCACCCCCACTGGTGCACTCTGCGCAGGGCGGGGGCTGCTGCAGAGCCCTGCCCCTCCAGTCCATGAGTCACCGCCCTGTGTGGGCTCCAGCTACCAACAGGGATGACAGGGGCTCGTTTCCAGTAGCTCCCTTGAGGCTGGAGCTGAGCAATCCCTATATGCCCCTTCCCCAGCCTCAAGATGCAGCCCACTGCCACGATGGCCACCACAGCCACCACCACTGACACAGTTGCCCTGACGTCGTGGGACAATTCCACCATCCATCCCACGGTGGGTGACCTCCAGGGATGGGGTGTGGGAGCGCAACAGTGACCCTGACTCCTTTCTTGTATGTGCCTACAGGCCGAGCCAGATCCCATCCTGGACAACTATGTGTTGTTGGTCGTGGTGATGTCGCTGTTCATCGGAGGCACGTTGGTGGTGCTGTCTGGCATCTTGCTCCTGTGCAAAAGATGCTGGGAGGTCCACCAGCGCTTCAGGTGCTCATGCCCCCAGGGACTGTGAGGTGGGGCTGGCCTGGGTGGTCAGTCTGCTCACTGCTGTCCTCATCCCTGCACCCCAGGGCCATGGAGGAAGCAGAAAAGACCACCACCACCTACCTGGACAGTGGCACACAACCTGCCCAAGGTGAGGGGCCAGCTTGGCCCCATTACCCTGACCGTCCATCTGTCCGCCCACCTACCCACTGCCTGCCCCCTCGGGCCGCCTGACGGTCTGTGTCTGTCTGTCTCCCCCACCAGACTGGGCGCAGCTCGATTCCGACTCATCTCTGTTTGCTTAACGCCCAGGCGTAGGTGCGCACAGGCGCGTGCTGAGCGAGTGAGTGTGTGAGCGGATGAGCGAGTGCCCGAGAGCCCGCCCCGCCTGCCCCAGCCCGTCCCCTCCGTCCGTCCGTCCTTCCTTCCTTCCGTCCTGCGGTCACTCAGCCCCATGCCCTCCCCCCACCCGTCCCCATGGCCTGCCCAGGACAGAGCACGGCCCACCTGGGGCCTACCCTCTCTTGGCTCTCCTGGCAGACCCTGAGTTCAGGGGCGAGGACCCTGAGGGCCAAGATGTGGAGACGGAGCGCTTCTTGTCTACCAGTTCCACGGGCCGCCGGGTGTCCTTCAATGAGGCTGCACTGTTTGAGCAGAGCCGGAAAGCTCAGGACAAGGGCCGAAGGTGAGGGGTGCAACCAGGGGCTACCATCCAGGGGGTCAGGACTGCTTTGTGGAGGAGGCTAGGCTTGAGGATGAGGTGCTAACTTGTGCAGGTACACCCTGACGGAGGGAGACTTCCACCACCTGAAGAACTCCCGCCTCACCCATCTGCATCTGCCACCCCTCAAGATTGTCACCATCCATGAATGTGACTTGGGTGAGGCCAGCTCAGCTGCCACGCCCCACCCAGCCACCACCCCTAAGGATAGCCTGGCCATCTTCCAGGTGAGAGATAGGGGTGGCAGCTGGCGGGAGCCCAGGGTCCAGTGGGTTGGGGGCTGGGTCCCCCTCACCCTCCCATACTCTTTTTTTTTTTTTTTTTTTGCCATAATTTCTCCCATACTCTTTGACCTGTCACTGCTTCTTCCCCTGCCTGGCTTTGTCCTACAGCCCCTGGGGAAGGCCCTTACTGGCCGATCTGTGGGCCCCAGCTCCGCCCTGCCAGGTGACCCCTACAATCCAGCTGCTGGTGCCACTGACTTCGCAGAGATCAGCCCCTTGGCCTCCAGTGACTCCTGTGAAAGTGCTTCAGTAAGGGGCTCCCTGTGTTTCCCCTTGAGTAGCCAGAGATCTGGGGGCTCTTCTCCTGTCTCCCCACCCCGACAGGTTATTATCCTGTGGCTTTATGCCACAGACCTGAGGGACATGGCATAAACCTCATGCACATGGGGATCTCAGGCTTCCTCTGTGTGGCTACAGGGGTTATGATCAGCACCTAGCCTAGGTCCCAGCCCTTCACTTGGGAACTTTCTCCCCAAACTCCTCTGCATAGGGATTGGTAGGGGAGCAGAGGGAGAGCCCCCTCCCACTCCTATGCTCAGCAGGCTCACTGGGTAGTGGTTGGGTACTGCCTCCTGGTGCTCAGCTGGAGCTGGCACTGGGACTAGGGAGGGGACTGCATGCCTGAGGAGGTCTCTGTCCTCTCCCAGCTGGATGCAGGAGCCAGGAGTGCCAAGGCTGGTGGGCCTGGGACCTCAGTAGGTCCTGGGGAAGTGGGGGCAGGCTCTGGGGCGGGCACCGTCCTGCAGTTCCTCACCCGCCTGCGTCGCCATGCCAGCCTGGATGGGGCCAGCCCCTACTTCAAGGTCAAGAAATGGAAGCTGGAGCCCAGCCAGAGGGCATCCAGTCTGGACACAAGAGGTGAGTTGCCAGCCCCTGGGCAGCAAGGCCCTGGCAGGGCACTTATCCCAAGCTGGCCAGGCCCTGGCAGGGCACTTATCCCAAGGCCTGTTTTATTACAGAATGGCGATCATTCTGTGCCCTGTGTCCCTGTAACCCCACCTAGGTGCCATTTGGGTGCATTTTGTTCCATTTGATCACAGTCCTCGTGTCCTTGCAGAGTGACTTTTACCCACTGTGTTGTTGGGCTTTATTGGCTTTGGGTTTTCTGGCAGGGATTCAGGGAGAGGGACTTGAGGGACCAGTGTCTTGTGTAAGGTCCCTCATTTCTTAGTGTGTTTCTGCACACTAAGGAGAGTGTGTTTCTGCATTCTCTGGCATAGTCTCGCAGTTCTACAGGGCAGCCCAGAGATGGATACAAATAAATGACTATGGCTGGGGGCCAATAAAACTTCATTCTAAAAAAAAAAAAAAAAAAAACTTTATTCTGAGATGGGCTGCAGGCTGATTTGGCTAGTACGCAGTGGTCTGCCAACCCTGGGTACAGGGTTTCCTTGTCCTGAGGAATGGCAGGACAGAGTGCATGGGGAGGGGAAAAGCAGGCACTGTTCTGTTTGGGACTTCCATGAGTGGCACAGGTCAGCAGGACTAGGGCAGGTTGGGCATGTTGTAGAGACTATGGGTCCTGAGATGAGAAAGCTATGGCCTGGGTGGAGTACAAACCCCAAATCTTAGATGGAGCCTGATTTCTGGTGGTGATTACAGCCACCATCAGTTGCAGAGGCCCAAAACCTGTTTGCCAGGTGTGGATGCCCTGCCCACCCACCCCACGGCCTACCCACTGCTTCTTGGAGGAGGGTCCTGGCACCTGGCCAGGGAGCTTTGGGGTGGGGTGGGGTGGGGCAGCACCTCCCTCACCCCCCCCCCAGTCTGCCCCTGACTCCCACACTTCCACAGCTGGGCTTGCCATGGGAGCCTTTGCTGCAGCCCGCACTGGCCAGGGCTGCTCTCAGCATGACTAATAACTAAGACCTTTCTCTTTCAGTACTAGGGATATGAACACAAGGCATTTCTACTGAGCTCCATCCCCAGGTTGTTTTTACAATTCTGAGACAGGGTCTTGCTAAGTCACTAAATTGCCTAAGCTAGGCCTGTGTTTGCCATCTTCTTGCTTCAGCTTCTGAGAGTGCTGGGATTATAGCACTCTTAGAATGCTGGGATTGGGGCCGGGGAGATGGCTCAGTGGAATAAGTGCTTCCCTGGCAAGCGCAAGGGCCTGAGTTCAATCCCTGGTTCCACAAAAAAAAAAAAAAAAGAAACTAAGAAAGAATGCTGGGATTGCAGGTGTATACCATGCTCAGCTGTACCTGTACCTGTCCTTTTTAACAGAAGCCTGCTCTTGAGTCTTGGATTTTCTGCCATGTCCTTTTTCTTTTCTGGTACCTCATACCCTAGGATCACTCTCCACATCTGTCACGCCCTGGGAACTGCCTGCTGGGGTCTGAATGTGTGTGTGTGTGTGTGTACAATAAAGCAGACCAATAAATCTCTATAAATCTCTCCCTGCACAGGTTCCCCCAAACGCCACCACTTCCAGCGGCAGCGGGCAGCCAGTGAGAGCATGGACCAGGATGAGGGGGACACCCCTCATGCAGACTTCATCCAGTACATCACCCGTGCAGGCGACGCTGTGGCCTTCCCACCCCCCCGCCCCTTTCTGGCCAGCCCCACCAGCCCGCCCCCCGCTCTCGGCAGGTATTTTTCAGTAGATAGAGGTGCTAGGGGTGGACCTGTGGGCCCCTGCCCTGCTCCGTCCCCCCTAGGTGGCCCAGGGAGCGCCCTCCTGGCCCTGTGGACACGTGCTTGCATTCCCCTGCAAGGACCGAAGGAGGAGGGAAGGAGGGAGAGACTGGGTAAGGGTAGGGGGACAGATGTGGCTCCAGATGATGGTCCCAGGGTTCCCAAGAAGGGCCATCTACCCAGCCAGGGCCACCTCGGACTTGTGTCAGCTCTAGTGCTGCCGCTTCCTGGTGGAATCCAAGGTCCAAGGGGCTCCTCAGTGATACCTGGCCCCCTCCCACCTGCCCAGACTCATGAGGAATGGAGGGCCACCTCTCAGAGTCCCTTATGACCTGTCCCACCATAACACCATTCTTTCCCAACCCCAACATCAAGCAACTATCCTGAAACTGGTGCCCAAGCCAACAGGAGTTGGGGTGGGATGAGGTGGGGTATTGGGATGCCCAGGGTGCCTTCTAGACTCCACTAGCTTCTGCCTAGGGCAAGTGACTTTGATTTCTGTGCCTCACTCTCCTGATCCTATCAACCCCATGATGGGTGGGTAAAGTGACTCTCTGCCCATCCTCCAGCCCACATATTCTGGGAGAGACCAGGAGAGGGGAATGGTTAACTCTTTGGGGGAAGTTTGCCCGAGACATTTGAAACCCTAGGACATTTCCACAGCCTGGTCTTGAGGTTTCCCCGACCCGGCTGCAGCCCCTCCCCATCTTACCCCGAGAGGCCAGTGGCCGACAGGGTCTGATGACCACGGCCTGGCTTGCAGGCTAGAGGCGGCCGAGGCGGCGGGAGGAGTGAGTCCCGAGTCCCCGCCGGAGAGCGGCGCCGTCGCAGGGCCCGAGCAGCCGGAGCTGGATGCCGAGCAGGCACAGGCCAGCTACCGCGACCTGTGGAGCCTACGCGCCTCACTCGAGTTGCATGCAGCCACGGCCTCAGACCACAGCAGCAGTGGCAACGACCGTGACTCTGTGCGCAGCGGTGACAGCTCGGGCTCAGGGGGCGCGGCGCCCGCCTTCCCGCCACCCTCACCACCTGCGCCCCCACGACCCAAGGACGGCGAGGCTCGCCGACTGCTGCAGATGGACAGCGGCTATGCCAGCATCGAAGGCGGCCGCGGTGCTGGTGACGACCTTGTGGTCATCGAGCCGACGCCACCTTTGGCCACACCGGCACCCCCACCACGCAGTCCCCGTGCCTGGTCTCGGCGGCCACGTCGGGATTACAGCATAGACGAGAAGACGGATGCACTTTTCCATGAGTTCCTGCGACATGACCCACACTTTGATGACACACCAGCTGCGGTGCGTCACCGCGCACGCGCTCACCCACACGCGCATGCGCGCAAGCAATGGCAGCGAGGAAGGCAGCACAGCGACCCTGGTGGTGCACGCGCGGCCCCATCCACTGGAACTGTCGTCTTGGCCGCTGGTGCGCCTCGGCCTGCGCGTGCACCCTTGCGCCGTGGCGACAGTGTCGACTGTCCGCCCGAGGGCCGTGCACTAGCCAGCACGGGGGACGACCCAGCCATCCCTGTAATCGAGGAAGAGCCTGGTGGTGGAGGTGGTGGAGGTGGTGGTGGGGGCTGCCCTGGCTCAGGCCTTTGTGTGGAGCCCTCGGGGGCGCTGCTGGACAAGCTGGCAGTAGGCCTCGAGGAAAGACTCTTCCCACACCTGGCCGAGCCTGTTCCCACAGCCCCCACACTGGTAGTTGCTGCTGCTGCCCCTACATCCCCCGACCACAGCCCGGCCTAAGTCCTGTGACCCGAGCCCAATTCTGGGAGGCTTCTTCAGCACCGTGTGGGGTCTCGGCAGCGATGGCAGTGAGACAGACCTGGGGACACAATGCTCTGTCGTGTATGCACCTGGATCACAGTGGCTCATCGCGAGTGTGCAGCCTGGATGCTTTGGCTGCCCCAGGTGCGAGCACTCGCAGCTCCATGCGTCTCTTGAGGCGTGCATGTGCACGGTCCAGCAGCCGCAGTCACAGTCCCACGTGCACACGCCACAGCCCCTTGTTGACCTCCTGCCTTCCATGTGTGCACACATATTGCCCTTTCTTGGGTATGCTGTGGGCAGTCATCATGGTATCCAGAGATGCGTGTTCCAAGACCCTGGCTCAGCTAGAGAAAGGAATTGCCCTTTGGGCCCTTGAGGACAACAGTCAATGCCCATGGCCTCAGACAACAGCATGCAGAACTTGTGCACAAAGCCAAGTTTCTGGCTGGGGAAGCGCAGTGATCAGGCCTGCACCGTGGCCTCAGGGTAGGGCATCTCAAGGGATGTGAATAGGTACTATCCTGAAGCTTGAGGCATCAGGAGCATGTGCTTGGGAAGGGGAGCACATTGCCTGCCAGGTGTCTGTGTGATCCCCACCAAGGTAGGAACCGCAGGGGGCTAAGGATCAAGGAGTTCTCCAACCCAGGACCCAGGAGGTTGGCTGGAGGACGTGGTTGCCAATCCCTCCAAGCCGTTTACCTCACCGCGGCATGTGCTCGCGGCAGTCCGCGCCTCTTTCCACTCCGAGCAATAACTGCGTTTGCCGCCGCCAACGCTGCCGCTGAGGCCACCAGCTCTCCTGCCGCCGCCACTGCCTCCCCATATGCGCTGTCCTGTCCATCCCATCCTGCATGCCATTGGCCACCCGTGCTGCCCTGTCCAGAGGAGCCACTGGGGACTTGGTGTTGGAAGTGTGGATAGAACACAGCCCAGGCGGCATGATTTCAAGTCTCCCGAGCTTTATTTATTGCCAAAAGATGGGGCCACTGGCCCTGCCCTTGCTGCTGCCCGCCCAGTCTGTCCCACCCCAAGATGGCGTTTTCGTGTTGTTTTTGTTTCCTGATTATAAATATTTACTGCACACTTGTCTGCTCCTGGTCTTCTCTGAGGACCCAAGACCGTTGTGGGGTCTTCGTGTTTCGCACTATCCGCTGCTTACCCTGGTAACACAAAGCTCAGATGGGGCCCTGCCTGTGAGGACCATGTGCTCCCATCTAACTCCCAATGGTTCTCAAACACCCTCACAGCCAGAGATCAAATCCACCTGTTTTATTTTAAAAAAAAGAAGAAAGAAAATCAAACAACAAAAAAAAAGAGGCCGCGGAACTCCCTCAGGCGGTCTGCATGCAAGGTGCTGGCAGGCACCTGCTCTTCAGGGCTGCAGCATGTCCCCAGCAGCAGGCAGGCAGAGGGCCAGTAGTCTGGACATAAAGTGCATCTCAGAGGCAAGGCCTCTGTTACCCTTGCCCGGGGAGGGCTCTGCATAGGACTGCAGAGTCAGCTGTCCACTCCCCAGTGGTGCTGTGCGCAGGTGGCCCAGGGGAAGGCTGCACCAAGACCCCTGCCACCCCCCTGCCTGGCCCTTGTACTCCTGATGTCCTGAGTGGTCAGCACAGAGGTATGGTGGCCAGCTTCCTGGACAGGTGACAGGCTGGAAACCAGCAGGAAGACTGAGGACCTGGGCTGTGGCCCCGAGCTGTAACTCCTGGAGACAGGCTGTGGACAGGAGGGGATTAGCAGTTAGTCGGGGAACCCAGACCTCTCTTTGTGTCTGAAAAGCCATTGGGGGGCCGGGGAGATAGCTCAGTAGAATAAGCGCTTGCCTGGCAAGCACAAGGACCTGAGTTCAATCCCCGGTTCTACAAAAAAAAAAAAAAAAAAAAGCCATTGGATGGGGAAACTAAGGCCTGGATAAGGGAGGCCACTTCCTGCCATGGGCTCCCATACAGGGGGCAGATATACTTTAGCTGTGTTGTGGGGATGTGGCTGGGAAGGGGCAGATTGAGGCATGTAGGGAAGTCTGAGAAGCCCAGGACAATGCAGCCCTGCCAGGCCCCCAGTGCTCAGAGGGAAGTCAGGTACCACTCAGGCATCCTCTAGGCCCTGCAGCAGCACAGCCTGGAGGCCCTTGTGTGGCTCGACAAAGTGCTCTGTAAAGTGAGCCCCTCAGTGGTTGTGCCCTGGCAGAGCCCTGTTGTGTGGCTGTGCAGCCTACACTGACCAGCAGGACAGCCAGAAATAAGGGACTGACTGAGAAGAACTGGCTGTGACCACCCAAGTGCCACCCACAGTAACAGGTCTCTGGGCTCAGGGCCTGGGACAGACGCACACTTTGTGCCTCCTGCTGGAGATAGCCAGGAATCTCCCGATCCCCAAGACTTACAGGCAGTCCTGTTCCACCTTTCACCCACCTGCAGGTGGCGCCTTCACTGCTGCTTGCAGGCCGACAGCCGTCGGATCTTGCTGCCCGAGCAGGCCTTGCGGGCCGAGTGGGTGGCACTGGCCTTGGCCTTGGTACTCAGTTGTCCAGACTCTGTGCCATTCATGCACACAGCCTTGGGTAGGCTGAGGCTCTGTCCATTCTGACCTGCCTCCTCTTCTGGGACCTGTCCTAGGAGGAAGACGGCGAGTGCGGCCTGAGCCAGAACAGTATCGCCCTATGCCTGGGCTGTACCTGCCACCTGGGGTGGGAGGCGGGGCGCCCTCTGCCTGTTGTGGACCCTGCAGGGACCTCAATCCTTCAAAGAGAAAGCAGGCAGGGGCCTACCTGTACCCACCTGCCATCATAGAACAAGCTAGGCTGAAGGGCCAGAACAGCCCATGAAAATGAGCTCAGCCTGTGGGAACCCAGAGCCTCCATCCAGGCCCATGTCCCCATTGTGGCAGGGACTTGTGGTCACCCTGCCTGGTTAGACACATGCATGGCAGGCATGGAGGGTAGAGGCCTACCTCTTGAGCAGCTCCTGGAGGCACAGCCAGCCCACCTGCTGGGAGCCAGTATGGCCACTCAGCTGTACTTAAACCTGTAAATATCACCAGGAAGCCCCCACCTGAGGCTCCTGGGCCCAGTATGGGCCCTGTGCAGGGCAGGGCTGCCCTTACTTAGCTTCCAGAACTTGCCTGCCCCAATGCTGTGTGCACAGATACAGCTAGCTGCCACAGGCCCTTTGGTAGTAAGATGCCAGCCTGGTCCTCAGGTCTGGGCTGAGCAGGACTGACATCCTGCTGACTTGCAGCCTGGAACCAGCTCTTGGGATGGTGAAGGGGCTGCCAGGCCAGGTAGGAAAATTCAGGTGGATGAAGTGGAATCTGCCCAGGCCAAGTGGGCCACAGCACAACCTGCTACAGCACCCTACTTGTGCACAAAGTGCCATTCTGGGTTTGGGCATGCAGTGACAGGCACAGGAGCAACTCCTGGGAAACACAGGGCACTGGGCACAAGAATAGAGAAGGTGGTATCTCCCTATCCCTCATCCCTTCCCTGCCAGCCTCATCTTTCTTTAAGCCAAAGCAAGCCTGAGGGAATAGGGACCCAAGGAGTTCCTTAGCAGGACCCACAGCCTAGAAGGAAATTTTGGCCAGGCACCCTGGCCAGGATAGGATACTAAGGGCTGCTCCTCAGGACAAGGGCTCAGATTGGGTCTGGCCTGCCTGCTCTTGGTAGACTCCAAGAGCAGACTTGGGAGAAGCCTGCCAAGACCTTCCATGGGTATCCTCATGTGCACCTCCCTGAAAGACTGGCCAAGACCCCCAGGAAGGAGCTGGCATCTAGGGGCACACCTGATAGGATGCAGCACAGCCTCCTGGGCCCTACTCAACCTCAGGCCAACTTCCAAACTAGGACAGGGGCCATGAGGCAAAAGGTGCTGCTGTGCAGTGCTGGAGAGGTGAACCTGGGCTCATTGGACCCCAGTCTTCTGGGGACCCTCCCCTATAGCCACAGGCGCTACTCTGAGACCACCTGCTTAGACCTCCCACCCCCCAGGCACCTTTTCCCCTAGGAACCCTTACAGTGGTTAACAGCCCCTGGGACCTGGTGGAGGGAAACCGCAGTGCACCACCTAGACAAACAGCAGACAAAGCTTTATGGCAGACCCAGTCCAGAGGCACTGGGTAGAGTGGGCAGCAGGGACGGCAGAGTAGGCTACACTAAGGCCTCGCTCCTCCTCGGCTTCCTCTCCTCAGAGGGCTGTGCCCTGGCTCCTCCATGTGCCTCGCTCCTCACTAGCCCTGCCTCAGACACTTCCTGGTCACCTGGGAAAGAAGGTGACAAGGTCAGGGCAGTTGCCTTAGTGAGCAGGAGGAGGGCTGCTGGACCCTCTCTGGGTGACTGGCTGAGGGGCTGCCCTGTGGAAGTGGCAAGAAGCCCCTGCCTTTGGCCCTCTGGGACTCACCACCTGTTTGTGCTGAGCTCAGGCCAGGAAGGCTGATGGCACTGGGCAGCACCTGGGACAGATGCCCATGAACCCTCCCAGCCACACTTGCCCGAGGTACTGGGCAGCTTCCTCAGCCTGATACTGTGCCCTCTGGGATCATGGGTCTGCCACCAGGGACAGTTCTACCCCCAAAGACATCCTAGCCAGGTCATTTCTGCATGTCCCAGCTACAGCCTCTGCCCTCTCACCGGGCACCATGAAGTCCTGGGTATAGATGACACTATCCTCGATGCTGAATAGGTCCTCGTCCTCGTCCTCATTGGTGCGGCCATGCAGGTCCTCTAGGTAGGGTACCACTGTCATGCTGCGCCACCGGTCCTTGGTGTCCGGGCTGGGCGGGATGGGCACCAGTGGTTCAGTCAGTGGGTGTTTCTTCCGGAACCAGCTGCAAAAGCCCAAGTGCCATGATGTCTATCAGGATGGCTGCTGGGTGACCAGATGCTACCACTTATACAAGAGCCCAGGGGCAGGCTATACCACAGGGTCCTGGCCACTGTGCCTATAGCAGCTTCTACCACTTCCAGTGGGGGTGTCCTGGCCATGGCGCTGATGCCTGCCTATAATCCTCTAATGACACCCACCTACAGGACAACCTGCTCTGGCCCTGCACATGCCCTAAGCAACAAAGCACCAGGTACAGACAAAGGTGAAGTACTAGTTTCTCATCCTGGCCTATGTCAGCCACAGCAAATGTGTACAAAGCCTTGGGGTGAGGGGACCATCACACCCTGTCCACCAAAGTGTGATCAGCCTCCTGGTACCATCTGCTAGGGTGCAGCCCAGATGCCATCCCTGCACCAGGGGCCTTTGGCTCCAACCTGCTACTGCTGCCCCAACCATAAGGCTGTGCTCCAGCAGGCAGGGTGGGAACACATCTTTTCACCTTGGGAAGGCAGGCAGTGGCCACATGACCTCAGGTTGCTGTCCCTGGCCATACCATACATCCTAGCACAAAACTGTCCCTATGCCCACACCAAGCCACTGCTGGGCATCTGGGCCAGGTTTTGGTCAGGACTGAGGCTCTCCCTTGGGCGCTTTGGCACCCTCCTCCAAACACTTCAGGGAGTATATTCAAGTCTCAGACGATCCCAGCAATGGTGCCGGTGCCTGGGCACCAACCAAACTCTTGCCTCAGGATATAAGGCCTGTGGAAGCTCAAAGAACCCAGCAAGGCAGACAGTGCCAGCTAGACCCTCCCCCTCTATGGGACCCCAAGGCTGTTCTCCTAGGACACGCAATGGTTGACTCGGGGAAGAACCTGGAGGAGGAGGAGGAGGAGGAGGAGGAGTGGCACACACACCTCCTATCCCCAGGTCCCTGAGCTGAGATGGAGCTGTCCAGGCCAGCAGCAGCACTGCCCATATCCCAAGCTACAATACCCACCTTGAGCATCCTCATCAGACCTCTGCCCTGAGGTAGCCTCAAGCAGATGTCCAGCTCACCACCTTCTACCAGGCCTGGGGCCAGCCCCACTTGAGCCTACCAGCCCCACAGGATGAGGGGCAGGCCTCTTTTTAAAAGAGTTCCCAGCACACTCAAGGGATGGCAGCCACTCACCTGTGCTGCCGGATCTGCCGTATGGAGAACCTCTTGGCTGGCTCATACTCCAGCATCCCTGCAGGGAGCACACAGACCAGGCTGGTGCTGGCTCAAGGACCCCAGGTCTCCACCACCCACTGTCACCATCTGTCCCACTTCTGCCCATAATCCTCAAATGACACCCACCTATAGGACAACCTGCCCTGCCCCTGCATGTGCCCCAAGCAACAAAGCATTATGTTCAGACAGTGATATGGTACTTTCTCATCCTGGCCTACCTCAGCCACAGCAAATGTGTACAAAGCTTTGGGGTGAGGGGAACATGATACCCTATATCTATCAGGGCGTCATCAGCCACCTGGTACCATCTGCTATATGGCATAGGAAACATCTCATGGGCCCTAGGGGACACCAGGGAAACCCAGTTCTGAAGGCCCAACACTGGTGGCTCCAGCGCTGCCTTGACCTGTGGCAAAGTTCCAAGGCAGCCATCAAGCTGGGCCTGCACCTGGGGAAGGTATGGCCTCATAGGTGAGCCCTAGGGACCCCACTGTGCTACAAGGTCCCTGGGGCTGCTAGAGCTGCACAGTATTAGCTCAGAAGAGGTAGAAAGGATGACAGCTCAGGCTGAAAGTTAGAGGGAGCCCAGGCTTCTGTGCCCAGGCCAGGGCTGCTGCCTGGGCCATCTTGCCACACACATCCCAGCGCTTCAGGAGACACCCACCTTTCAGCAGGTCGGAGAGCGGGGGGCCACAGTCACCTGGGATTGTGTAGTCCCCCTTCCCGATGTTCTCAAACAGCTTGTAAATGTTGTCCCCTTCAAATGGGTACAGGCCTGTCGTGATGTTGTAGCTTCACGGCCAAGAGCAGTGGAAGAGGTGGGTCAGCTGCTGGCTGGGGCCCCTGGAGCCCCTCATCCCATGCCACATGGCTGGCGGCAGGACTTGGCCCTGGACCCGCCCAAGACATCACCCCTGAAGCCACTCCCACCCACATGCCTTTCATTTGGGTTGATGAAAACATGGATTAGGTAGCTATAGGGGCCCTACCACTCTGCACCAGAGTCTGGGCACTGTGCTGTATCTCAATAAATAAAGGGCATGCAACTCTGGTGGCTGCCTGGGAGACAGGGTTCTGGAGATGCTGCAGTCCCTTGAGGCCCTGCATGCTGCAAGTTTAAGGCAGAATGAACGTCTCTGGGGCACTTACAGTGTGACCCCAGCTGACCAGATGTCCACTTTGAAGCCAGAGAAAGTGTCCAGGCCATTGGCAATCTCAGGTGGCTGGAATGCAGGGGAGCCCTGGCTGGTCCGGCAGGTGTCATCCGCAGCAAAGGGATGCAGGGCCTATGGCAGTGTATGTGGCCCTCAGGAAGCACAGGGGAGGGCAGCTACCTGCACCCCCAGTCCCACAGAAGCGGCACCTACCTCAGCAACACCCAGGTCTGAGATCTTGAGTGTGCCACCCGTGGTGAGTAGCAGGTTTCCTGGCTTGATGTCCTTGTGTACAATGCCCTGGCTGTGCAGGTACTCTAGGCCATCAATGAGCTGGCAGAAGTACCTGCAGGGAGGGGAGGTCCAGCTCAGAGCCACCCAAGCCTTCCCAATCCTCTGGGGCTGATGAGAGCCATGTCACCTAGAAGCCTCTTGAGGGCAGGAGGATATAGGGATGGTTATTTGGGATCCAGGCAAGCATACATGACAGAGGAAGGGCCAGGTCTCACTAGGGAGCCCCCACAGCTAAATCCCCTGATTTCTTTTATTCATTCATTCATCCATCTATTCATTCAATCTTTTTGAAACAGGGTTTTGCTACACAGTTTAGGCTGGCCTTGAGTTCAATCTGTAGCCCAGGGTGGTTTCAAACTCAGCCTGCTTAAGTGACTGCCTCGGCCTCCTAAGTACTGGGATTGTGCACTACCATGCTCAGCAAGCCCAACTTTTATAAGGCTGCAGTCACTCCTGCTCAGAGCCAGAGACCTCTTACTCAACCTGCTGGCTTTGTTCCCCCATTGTGAAATGGGGCATCTGGACCCCTAAATCTTGCTAGAACAGCAAGCCCTCTCCCTACCTTCAGGGCACTGAAACAACCAAAGACCTGGATTCCCTTGTCACCCAGGAGGGCCAGTGGAGTCCCTGGCACCATCCAAAAGCCAAACTCCAAGAAGCCAAAACAGTTGGGTGTGTATGCACACCTGTCATCCCAGCAATCAGAAGGCTGGGACAGGAGGACTGCCACAAGTTCTGGGCCAGCCTGTGCTACACAGTGAGTTCAAGGCCAGCCTGGATGACATAGCAAACACCTGTCTCAAAACAAAACAAAAGCCAAAACAGGCTGCTCTGGGGATGAGGCCACCCAGGCAATAGGTGGAAAGACTCCATAGAGGGCAGCCCTGCCTGTGTAGCTGGGCTGTGGACACTGCAAACCGGGGACCCTGAAGCACTGTTACAAAATCTACAGCTGTCATTCCATAATATTCGGAAAATAAAGTTTGAAGGTTGGCCCAAGTCAAGCTGGCCTGGCATCTCTGTGTAGGCTGTGGCCTGTCAGGCAGCACTCACTCACCCGTGGGCCTGGCACACAGGGAACCGCTTCTCAGGCACACTGTCCAGCATCTCCTGCATGCCGCACACACAGTACTCCATAACCATATACGTGGGGCGCTAAGGAAGCCACAGTTCAGCAGGGACCCCACAGCCTGTTGGGCCCTGGAGGGGCAATGGCTCAGAAGGGCCCATTCTGTGACCCTCTGCCCTGGACCAACAGCAGCCAAGTTCATGAAGATGAACACATGTGCTGGATGGCAGGGGTCCTAGACAATGAGGAGCTGAGGTCCTGGTCCACTGCACTTGCTGTAACACTGCACAACTGCCAGGGTCTGCAAGGGGTGCCTGCCCCCAGCAGACCATGCCCAGGATGTCAGCTTGGCTATGACATCTGGGACACAAGGATCAGGGCTATGGATGTTCCTGGCCACCCTCAGGAATAATTTACTTCTCCCTGTCCATGGCATCCTGAAACAGTGTCCATGCCCAACAACCATAAACTCCAGGGACTCCAAACTTAAGGGACAGAGTTCAGACAGAGACCCAGGATCCCACCTCTCACCCAGGCTAGGAGAAAGGAAATGCTGTGGTAGTGTCCTGACTTCCACCTCAGCTTCCCACACCACAGACAGGAGTCCTCAGAAACAGGCCAAAGATATACCAGGCTCAATACTAGGAGCAGAGAACGCCCCCCTACCAACACCCCACTTCCTCCACCAGTGCAGGGGCCCCCACCCTGAAAGGATATATCTTCTGCTTCTCTTCATTGTACAGCACGTCCACCAGCTGGATGACATTCCTGTGCCGTAACCGCCTCAGGAGCTGGATTTCCCTGGAACCAGAGGACACCCTCAGTGGACCCTTGTCAGTGACTGTGGCCCGAGAGTGGGGCCTCCTGTATCCCACTCATCGAGATAGCCAACCAAGGGACCATCTGGGCAAGTCTTCCTTGGGCCCAGGTTATAGCAGGCTTGGGCTGGGGCCCAGGCACAGCAGGGAAGGTGGGGCACGGTGGCTGGCAAGGTCAGGAAAGCCCAGGGACTTGCTACTGGCCCAGCACAAGGTGTGCTGTGGAGTCCCTGGAGGAGGCCTGAGTATGATGAGGATTTTTCATTTGTCACTGGCCAGAGGCTTGGACAGGGAGAAGACACTAGGGGTATAGTACAGTTTGTTTGGGGATAGTACCAAGGATTGAACCCAGAACCTTCTTACTGAGCTATACCCCTAGCCCTTTTAATTTTGAGACAGAATTTTGGTAAGCTGCCCAAGATGGCCTTGAATGTGTGATTCTCCTGCCTCAGCTTTCCAGGAAACTAGGAATGAGTGTGTGCCACCAGGCTCAGCCTACAGCTCACATATTAAAGTGTGTAATTTATAGTCTCAGCACTGAGAACACAGAGGAAGGAGGATCACTGTGACTTCAAGGCCAGCCTGAGCTACACAGCAATAACCTGTTTAAAAAAAAAAAAAAAAAAAGGGGCTGAAGATAGAGCTCAGTGGCACAGCATCTGCCTGGCAAGCATGAGGTCAAGTTTGATTCCCAGTACCAAAGGGGGAAAAAAAAAAAAAAAAAAAAAAAAGCTAGGGTGATGGCTCAGTGGCATAAATGCCTGCCAGTACAAGGACCAGGGTTTGCTCCTCAACCTGCCAAGCCAGTCCTGTTCCCAGGGTGCACTGAGACCACAAATGAGATTTGGCATGATGGCCAGCACCTATAATCCCAGCTCTTGGGAGGCTGAAAAAAGGAGGATCACTACAAGTCCGATCTGTGCAGTGAGACCCTGTACTAAATACATAAAAAAAAAAAAAAAAAATTAAGTAGTTTCTAATATACTCCAATTGTGTAACCAATATCAATACTGGGTTCTAAAATATTCCCTCACTCCAGCTTATCAGAACTGGTTTTTTTTTTTTTAGTTCATGTATTTGGTACAGGGTCTCACCACGCAGCTCACACTCAGAGTGACCCTCCTGTCTTCAGCCTCCCTAGCACTAGGATTACAAGGGTGACCACCACACCTGGTCTTTGGTCTCCAGTGGCCAGCTCAGTGCGCTCAGAGGCAGGGCCGGTGCAGCATGTGGTGCTGGGGATTGAACTCCAGTTCCTGCACTTGCCTAAGCAGGCACTCAGTCCACTGTGCTATCTCACCAGCCCAGAATTTTATTTTTTATTTTTTTAATTTTTTAATTTTTTTTGTAGCAGGGATGGAATTCCAGAACTTGCACTCGCCAGGCAGGTGTTTATGCCACTGGGCGATCTCCCTGGTCAGTGGGTATGTTTTTTGATGTAGCCCGACCTTGAACTCTGTATGTAGCCCAGGCTGGCTCTGAACTCGTAGGAATCCTCCTGCCTCAGCCTCACTGTGCTGGGATTTTAGGGATCTACCACCATACTCAGCTGTTAAAACTTTTTAACCCAAGAATAACTATTCTGTGCAGCCACCACAACAGCAGTGCAGATCCAGCATCTACTGTGTGCAAGAACAACGTCAGGCCCTCAAGAATCTTCTCCTTTCACCAAGGGCCCCAATCTCCAGCACCCCAGCTACATCTTGCTGGGACAGCTGCAGAGCCACATCCACTTGCACCTTGCACCGTACCCAGGGCCAATGCCCTATGGTCAGGCAGAGCCTGGCAACCCAGTCCAGATGCCTCACTTCCCCAAACAGGACTGACCAGCAGGAGCCCTCCACCCATAGGGTTAGGCACAGGCACCCCAAGAGTAGAGGTGATCCAACACCTGCAGGCTGCCTTGCAGCCAGGGTAGGACTGCCCTATGCCCATCAGCAGACAGACACACTGTGGGGTCCATTCCCATACTAGAACATCACTTAGCCAGGAAAGAAGTAAGCCATGACACTTACCATACCAGGAGACCTTGAGGATGCTGTGTGCTCAGTGAGAGACCAGACACAGAGAAGAATACAGTGTGGACTTCCCTAGACAAGAAACGCCTATGACAGGCAAATACAGAGACAGGAAGCAGACTCATGGATGCCAAGGGCTTCCTCTGGGGTGATGGAATGTTCTGGAAGCAGGTTAAGGTGGCAGTCACAGACTGTAGGTATACCAAATGCCACTGAACCACAGAGTCAATGGGCAAAATTTTATTTCAAATAAAGGTTCTTTCTTCTGAGGGTGATGAGGGGTTCTGAGAGAGGTTCTTGCTATGTAGCCTAGACTGGCCTCGAACTCACAATGATCCTCCTGCTTCAGCCTCCCAAGTACTGGAATTACAGGTGTGCACCACCATGCTCGACTGATAAAAGTTCTTTTTTTTTTTTTTTTTTTTAAAGGTTCTTAGTAGGAAGTCCAACAACACAACACACACGACTGGGTGTAGGAGGCCACTACCACTCTAGTATATCACACTGTGGCCCCTACAATGCTACCTGGGCTGGCCACAGTCAAAGATAGAGGAGGGGATGCTCTGGGCAGTGCTGAGTGCAGGGGAGGGGCAGGTAGCCTGGGAGGTACAGGGAGAGAAGGGGGGGGAGGGTATGGGTGGCAGAGCCCTGGGAGTAGGCCTGGGCTGTTCTGCTAGCCCAGCTTGCACTGACTCTGGAGTGCAAGCACAGGAGTGGCTCCAGTTCCCAGTAAGGCTTGCAAGGTTATTTATAGAGCTGGCTGTGGCCTGAGTCCACAGTCTGGCAAGTGCCCAGATCATCAAGAGGTACACTCGGAACCAAAATGGACATAGCGATTCTGCCTCCTCAGGACAGTACTGAATGGTTCCAGAGGCTCCAAGAGCAAAGGCTCAATCTATCTTCTATCCCCTTAAGGCTTCATTCATATGGCTCTGACCTTCTCCATCAAAGAGGCCACCGTTTGTGGCTAAATGCGATGTGCCTCCACCTCAGAGGAAAATCCAGAATACAGGCAAGATGTATCCTCAGACAGGACCACCCTGAGCCAACCTCAGGCCAGAGGTTACTGAAGTCCCTCTACCTCAGAGGCAAGGAAGCCTGGTTCCTGGCCATAGGCACTGGCTCTTGGGGCTCCTGTGCTAGCTACTTCAGAGATGCCCAGGCCAGGGGATGGCACTAGCCAGGGATTACCAGGGGCTGCAGAGACTGAGTCTCAGACACTGGGGCCCCAAGAGTTGGTCAAGTCGGGAGATAGAACATACTCTTACTGGGGCAGGTGGTATGACCAGGGGACTCATCTTCTGACACTGATCCCTCTGCTGCTCCCCACTCTTTATGTAGATGTTACTGAGCAGCGTCCTAGGATGCACCTCCAATCTCAACCATCACCAATGTGCACGGACTCTACCCAATGTCCCCTAGGGGCAGCATCTCCCCAGGACCTCTCACCTGCCTGGGACAACCAGACCTACTGTTTGCTGCTGGCTCCAAGACCCTAGCCAGCACTCAGTCACACAGGGTGCTTTCAGCACCCCCCACTCCCAGGGCATACCTGCCACTTCTAAGCTCCCCCATCATCACACCTGTCCCTTATTTGCCTGAACTCCCCCAGCAGCCTGACGCTGGGTTGTCAACACACACCACCCCCTGGCGCCCAGTCATGTCCCTGGCTGCTTTCTGCAGGTCCCATTCCATTTCTGGCTCACAGTGACACCAATGCAGGCAATGTTAGGCCACACCTGCTTCCCTCTACCGAGCAGTGTCCAGAACAGAGCTAGGCTGGCAGGAGCTGTCCTGAGTAAGCACTCCTCTCTAGGGGACAGCCAAGCCAACAGGCCTATCCCTACTTCCCCTGACTCCTGGTAAGGCCTCACAGATGTCGCAGATGCAGTGAGAACCTGGGACCTCAGCAGTATCCCAGGTGCAGGGCCAGTGCCTCTAAGGTGTCCCAGGTGCACAGCCTATGCCTCTCAGGTGTCCCAGATGCAATGAGAACCTGGTTCCTCACAGATGTCCCAGGTGCAATAAGAACCTGGCTCATCACAGGTGTCCCAGGTGCAGAGCCTGCTTTTTTCAGGCAACCCAGAGGCAACACAGACCCCAGCTCCTCATAGGCATTCCACATGCAGGGAGAACTTAACGCCTTCCAAGCATCCCAGGTGCATTGTGAGTTAGCTCTTTCTCCCAGCACACACCATCACCTTCCAAGCTAACACTGCACATCAACTAGAGTGTTGTGGTACATGCCTGTAATCCCAGCACTTAAGAGGATGAGGCAGCAGGATTGCTGTGAGCTCAGGACCAGCCTGGGTACATAGCTTAAGACCAGCCTAGAATACACTGAAAGACCTTGTATTTAAAAAAAAAAAAAAGGAATGTACCAGGGATACAGCTCAGCAGTAGCATAGTGCCTGCCTGGCAAATTCAGGGCCCTGAGTTCAATTCTCGATACAAAAACAAACAAACCCCACAAAAAACAAAACAACCCAACAACAAAAACCATAACCCAAGGCACTGAGAGGCCTGCACTTGGGGAGCACCTCACCCAGGCAGTGGGTAGCTTGGTCAGGGAGCTTCCTCCCAATGCCTCCTGGTGCCCCATTATCTTTGGCAAATCTTGCTCCATATGCTTGTTTTCTGAGACTTCAAACCCTACTGAAATAGCACATATCACTAGTGTTAGAAGAGGCCCTAAACATAAGCTGGCTATTGCTTCAGGAAGTCCAACATTGGGGCCAGGGATATCAGGGAGAGGGCTCAGTAGAATAAGCGCTTCCCTAGCAAGCACAAGCCTGAGTTCAATCCCTGGTTCCGCACAAAAAAAAAAAAAAAGAAGTCGTCCAACGTACCTCAAAGATTAGTGCCACCCCACAACCCCAGCAGTGCAAAGTGCTCAAAGCCAAGAGACCAGAGGTGGGTCCCCAGAAGGTCACCGCAAGGTTCTAATAAGCCCATAGGTCTATGC